CCTCCACATAGATACGCCCTCGTATATACATATCCGATGCTACATTAGACGAAGGATGGTTAGACACCCTTTGCAGAAAAATTACATTTTATCATATAGGTTAAATGATATATACTACTACGTACCTTTTATACATACATATTAATCTTAAATATCTTTAACGAAATTTCTGTCTTCGCCATTGTCTATGTACAGATTGAGGGACGAGGAGCTACCGAGTATAGACATATTTGTATGCACAGCAAACCATGTGATAGAGCCACCATCTATGGTGATAAACACAGTTTTATCTCTAATGGCTTATAATTATCCACCTCAGAAGATGAGTGTTTATCTCTCAGATGATGGTTGTTCTGAGTTTATGTTCTTTGCTCTCTTTGAAGCTTCTGAATTTTCCAAATATTGGTTGCCATTTTGCAAGAAATTTAAAGTACAAACACCTACACCAGCTGCTTATTTTTCAATGAATAATAATCATGAAACTCATGAATTATTATCAGCTGATGAGTTTATTTCCATCAAGGTACATATATTATTAACTCCTTACAGTTTTTTTTCTGCTATTATATGCTAGTCTAACTTGACAAATTGTTAACTTATTCATAGAACAATTCACATAATTAATCAACTGATTTAAGTTATACATCAAAATAGTGTAAATTTTTTTTTTTTACATTATTAGTGAATTTTAATCCGTGATAACATGTTAGTTACCACTTTTATCAAATTACAAATTAATGCTTATCGGAAAATACTTTAATTAGTAGTATATAATAAGTGATCTGATCGTAAAAATATTTTTTTACATCATTAGTTAATAGAACTTAATTAAGCCCTTGGTCTAGTGGTATGATTGCAACACGCAATGTGTATATTAGGAGCACGTCACATGTTTAAATTTTGTAGTTGACAAAAAGACTGGTATTTAAGTGGAGAAACGTAAAGAAGTAGACCCATTATTCACCGAATTATAGACGATATATTTCTAGCCCTTAGAAATTTCTCGATTACTAAAAAAAAGTACAAGGATTTGTATATTTCTAATAAAAGTTCGATAACTAACAGTAAACTAGAAGCCACTTTCTTTCTGAATCAGAATAGATTAACATCGTTCTTAACTTGTTTGTCTATATGTCTCCAAAAATCGTATAAAGAAGTTTTAATGCATTTACGTTGTTGGAGAACAAGTGTTACGACATAGCGGAGCTAGAATTTTTATTTAGGAACGTCAATTTTTTAAAAATAAAACACACGAATAAGTCAAGGAGAGTCAATACATAATGTGTACATATATATAAGAAATTTTGCTTATCTAAAGTTAATACTTTAGTGAATTATTGTTCATTGATAAACTTACAGAAGCTATACGAAGCTATGATTAAAAGGATAGATGAGACTACAAGGCAAGGCCATGTCCCTGAAATGCTGAGAAAACAACATAAAGGATTTCGAGAGTGGAATTTCATTTCAAGCAAACAAGACCATCACACTATCATCCAAGTAAATAAGTGTTTTTTCTTTCTTTTCAAAGAAGTGAACATAAAGTTTAATTGATATTTTCCACTGAAATATTTGCTTCAATTTGTTGCAGATATTAATTGACAGTAGTGAAAATGCGGATGTGGTAGGACAAATTTTGCCGACTTTAGTATACCTGGCAAGAGAGAAGAGACCCCAACACCACCATCACTTCAAAGCAGGTGCCATGAATGCCTTGGTAATTAACTTGCTCTCTTTAACTTAGTTTTTTTTGTTTTGTTTTGGGAAGATGAGCCTTGGAGCAACGATAAAGTTGTCTCAGTATGACCTATGGGTCAGGAGTTTGAGCCGTGAAAGCAGCCACTGGCTCTTGCATTAGGGTAGACTGCCTACATTACACCACTTCGGATGCGGACCTTCCCTGGACCCTGCGTGAATGCAGAATGCTTTGTGTACCGAGCTACCCTCTTTTAACTTAGTTTTTTAGTTATATAAACTAATGGTATGAAGATGCTTTTATAATATCACTGAAAATTTAACTTGTTATATCATATATGTTATTTCTTCTAACAGATTGCTAGTAATATTTATCAGATATGTTATTTCTTCTAACAGATATATTATTTACTTGTAATTGTCCAATGAGTTTAACTAGTACATCCTTCAACAATATAAAAAATTTTACGACCCATTTGTCTATTAGAACAGATAATCTATCTTATTTTCAAGATTACAAACTCCATTCAATTTTTTATGGAGAGTTACTTATAGATATCATTTGGATAGTTTAACAATATAAAAGCTTCTTTATATTGTCGGTTGTGTATAAGTTAAACTCTTAATTAACAAATTTAGTGACCTAATTAATTGCATAAATTATTTATACTGTCACTTTATAGAAATTAAACTCTTTTAACTTAGCTTCCCACCAATAAAAGTTCTTTGTTTTTTGTTCCTAATGTCTTACTATTTGGTGCAACCATTATTTGACTCTTTGAAAAAAAACATGAACAGATAAGGGTATCAGCAAGAATAAGCAACAGTCCTATTATTCTGAATGTGGATTGTGACATGTATTCAAACAATTCAGAATCAGTGAGAGATGCCTTATGCTTTTTCCTAGATGAAGAACAAAGCAATGGCATTGCTTTTGTACAATATCCTCAGCAATTTAGTAATATCACCAAGAATGATCTTTACAGCAATTCTTTACGTATAATCACTGAGGTAAGAGCTATATACCAAGTTTGAGATCAGTTGTTGTAATTAAAGAACCTTATAGCTATATAAAATAACACATCTAATTACTATTCCTTTTGTTTCCGTTTATGTGACGACTCTATTTCCTTTTTCGTATGTTTAAAAAAAGAATGTCTTTTTTTAAATTTGCAAACAATTTAAGTTAAACTTCTCATCTTACTCTTCATAACAAGTTTATAGCCACACAAATATTATGACATGTTTAAAACCACAAATCTTAAAAAACTTATACAATCATACAAGTATTAGAGCATATTTCAGACTATAAGTTATAAAAGTCTTCATTTCTCTCGTAAACAATGACGAGCTAAACTGTGTCACATAACTTGGAATGGAGGGAGTAATTAACAAGGATTCATATACAGTCAAACCTCTCTATAACAGCCTCGTTTGTTCCGATATTTTTTAGTTGCTATAGTGAAGTGTTATTATAGAAGACATATATTATAACATAATATAACAATCAGAGAAAACTTGGCTTTTATAGTGAATGGATATTATATAGAGATGTTGTTATAGAGAGGTCGACTGTATCTGATTTGTTATTATTTGGTGATTGTGAAGGTAGAGCTTCCAGGATTAGATGCAAGTGGAGGACCTTTGTACATTGGTACTGGCTGCTTTCATGGGAGAGAAGTTCTGTGTGGAAAGAAATACTGTAAAGGATCCAAGATAATAAATTACTATAAGAAAGAAGTGGACAACAAGAGAGAATACAAAGAAACTAGTGATATACTTGAAGAAACATGCAAAATTCTTGCTAGTTGCTTATATGAAGAGGGCACTCAATGGGGTAANAAAAAAAAAAAAAAAAGATAGCAAAACCAAATTGAGGGTGTGTTTGGTATGATGGAAAATATTCTTTATAAATAATTTTCAGGTATTTGATTGTCAGAAAATATTTTCTGGAGAAAACATTTTTTACCAATACTTTTAGCTTTCCTTCAGAATTATAATCTCACTGCTTAACTTCATATATTTGTTTTAACCAACACTTAAACATTATTATCAATCTTTTTTTGTTGGTCAATCTTTAATACTCAAAAGTTTCACCAAAACACTATCCTGTTTGCTAATAATAATATCAAACTTTAATATAATATTTTTTTTCGAGAAATAATTTTTACTCTCCAACCAAACACCAAAAATATTTTCGAGGAGAATAAGTCACATTCCGAAAATAAATTCCTAAAAATGACTTTCATCATACAAAACACACCCTCAGTCTGCTATAATTTTCTAACCATAGAAATGCCTTTTTGCATTGATTGCATCTGCAGGTAGGGTTGAAGTATGGTTGTGCTGTAGAAGATGTGATAACTGGACTCTCAATACAATGCAGAGGCTGGAAATCTGTCTATTTCAATCCAAAGAGAAAGGGATTCTTAGGTCTTGCTCCAACAACACTTTTGGAAACTCTAGTACAACATAAGAGATGGGCAGAGGGTAATTTTCAGATATTCCTTTCAAAATACTGCCCTTTCATATATGGCAAAGGAAAAATCCCACTCAAACTTCAGATTTCATACTGTAGCTTCTTGCTTTGTGCTGCAAATTGGATGCCTACCTTATATTATACTATTGTCCCATCATTTTGCCTTCTCCATGGCATCAGCTTGTTTCCAAAGGTATGTCCCTCTAAGAAATAAGTGTCTATATATTATATATATACATGTACATATGAATGCATATGTATGTATATGTATAGGCACTCTTTATCATTGTTAGATGCTTGTGATAGTTCTGAAACCGGGTTCTAAGCATTGTAGACAGTTGTGGTCGTGTTTAGACCCTGTCTCAGATATTTACATGTATGATATTGGTTTTGAGACTATTTCTGCTTTCATATTATATCATGATACTGCTAAAGATTTAGATAATTTGTTTTACTTATGGTTGTTTGAGTGTCGGCTTGCCTAGCTAGCAGGTTAGGCACCATCACGACCTTTAGTAGGATTTTGGGTGAATCCCACTAAATCTTTAAATAAGGAAAGTCTCAGCGTAACTGGTAAAATTATTGTCATATAACCAGGAGATATCGATTTCTTGCAGAAATGCAGGGTAAGGCTGCGTACAATATACCGTTGTGGTCCTGCCCTTCCCCGAACCCCGCGCATAAAAGGAGCTTAGTGCACCGGGTTGCCCACTAAATCTTTACCAAAATCATGATATATTTTGAATGAGCTGTCATGTTTATTTTTAAAAACTGAAAAATGGGGACAACGATAACCTACAACAGCCATATAGTAGGTTAGCAAAATCCTACATAAAGAGAGAATGACTGGCAGGCATGTGCTCCTTGCAGCACCATTTCTGTATGTTCTTCTAAGTATATAGTAAGTCATTTAATTTCTGCATATACAGTTGTCAAGCCTCTGGATGCTACATGGATGCTACCATGTGCTCCTTGCAGCACCATTTCTGTATGTTCTTCTAAGTATAGTAAGTCATTTAATTTCTGCATATACAGTTGTCAAGCCTCTGGATGCTACCATATGTATATGTTGCCATTGCCACTACAACATATAGCTTACTAGAACATCTATGGTGTGGAGGCACATTGAAAGGATGGTGGAATGATCAGAGACTCTGGCTATACAAGAGATTGACTTCTTACCTATTCGCCTTCTTTCAAACCATCTTGACATTTGTAGGATTCACCAAGTCAGGTTTTGTAGTCACAGCAAAAGGTTCAGATAATGAAAATGTCAGTCAAAGATATGAGCAAGAAATCATGGAGTTTGGCACTTCAGCTGCCTCATCATCAACACCTATGTTCTATGTTTTAGCAACCATAGCACTGTGGAACCTTTTCTGTCTAGGAGATGTCATGTTAAGGGTTATTATGGATCCACATGAGGCTGCAGTTATTGTAGAATCTCTTGGTATTCAGATTCTTTTAACGGGGTTAATAGTAATCGTTAACTTGCCTTTATATGAGGGGCTTTTCTTGAGGAATGACAAGGGATGTATGCCCTTTGTTGTCACCTGTATTTCTCTTGTCTTAGCTACCTTTTTGTATCTGTTAGCCAAATACTGATCATTTCACACTTCTCAGTTCTCAGTTCATGTCTGTACTCTGTTGTACTGTTGCACCACTGTATGTAATAATAAAAAGTTCGGTATTCCTATATATATATATATATATATATATATATATATATATATATATATATAGTGTCGAAATGCCATAGCTGTGGAGTCCTCAATGTAAAAACTAATGAACATTCATTTATTGATGATGGAGGATTATGTGACACAAACGAGCAGAACTGCTAACTATGCTGAGTGTAAAGGAAAACAAGTGTTTGCTCGATTTTCATGGTATTATTAGGTTATTGCTTCTATGGTTTTACATAATGGATACAAGCATTCAGATACCTCACTACTTTAGATGCAATGTGGCAGAACTCATTGGGCGTGCAACTGTGCAGCAGCTAGATGCAAATATAGTACAAACTATTCCAGTTTCAAAGCGATGAACGTGCCACCATCCTTATAGGCCTGCAATATGCAAGACTTTATGATTAAAGACACATTACTTGAATCAAATGCAAACTTTACATGGAGTCAACTGCAGTGAGTCAACTGCAGTGTAAAGACTCTTATCTAAGTTTAGGTAACTTCAACTCAAACTATTTTGAATTCGCCGATATTTTTAGGAAATTTCCCCAAATAATTATTCCCCAATCAAAACAGAGGTATCATCTTTGAAAGACAATCAACCACGTAGAACACTACAAATTTTATCCAATCATGCACTTCCTCTCTCATTCTTCATTTTGTGTAGAGTTGACTATATTTATTTTATTTATAATCAAAGACGGAAATGATTTTTTTTTATATAGTTCCTGAACCTAGTAAAGCAAAACATATTCCGCTGCAAGTACCAGAAACTGTAGGCCGTATTTGGCATAATGAAAAATTTTATACAAAGGGAAGTATTTTCTAAAATCATTTTCTACTGTTTTATTGGACATAAAGGTTTATGGCTTCTGCTTGCTGAGGAGGTCATGGGGCAAAAGCATTTTGACTAGCCTTTACTGTAGATGTGAAAGAGAGTGAAAAAACAATTTTTGCATGCTAGAGAGAGCTGTAGTTCCTCAAAAGATACTCTATTCCTCACCAGACAAAGAAGAGCGAAAAATATGAGTTGATTCCTGAATTCTGTCCTGCACCACTAAGGTCTAAGATGTACGTTTACGTTTTCCTATGATAATACAAATAAGCTCTTCAAACAAAGTTCCGGTTTATACTTATAATGTTGAGTCGAGTAAGGTTCAAAAGTTCAGGATGCAAATTTTCTCTGAGCATAAAATACAGTGACTGGATCATTTATCCCACCAGTTTCAGATTTATGTTTACGGTTAAGCAAAAGCACTTGTAGCAAAAAGGATTAGAAATAGAGAAAAACAAACTTGTGGCAAAAAATCTAAAGCGGTTGAATAAGCGAATAAATCATAAAATTCACTAAAGAAAGGGCTTACATGAGCTCTACAACAAGAGCAGATGCGCCTCCTCCCCCATTGCAGATTCCTGCAACACCAAACTTCCCATTCTTGTGCTTCAGTACCTGAACCATACTTACAATTGTGTAAGACAAAACAAAATGCAGCAACTTTGTGCAGATACTATTTAGTTGTCCATTACTAAAACAATATATCAATATCCATCAATAAATATACGGTCAAATCATATTTAACCAATAAATAACACAAACTGGACAAGTCTAATTGCTTAAGCATAATAGTTTGAGAAAGACTGTAATTGCTTAAGCATAAGAGTTTTAGGAAGATGCGGCCAACATACTCCTAAAAGAGATACCAGGATCCTAGCTCCACTGCACCCTAAAGGATGTCCCAATGACACAGCTCCACCATGAGCATTTAGCTTGCCCTGACCACGGGACAAAGTTATAACAGGATTGAGATAGAGGACATGATAAAATTAGAAGAGAAATTACAGATTTCGAACAAAATTAGCACATTTCTTTGTTTTCTCCAACTAAATTTTGCCACAATAATTCGCTACATAAGCAGAGAGTAACAATAAGCAACTATTGACTTTCCAAAGGGAAGGGTCAAAAGCAAAGAAAAGAGCAATTGGAGACTAACGGAATTGAGGTTGAGCAGTCTTTGGTTGACAAGAGCCACGACCTGCGAAGCAAATATGCTAAATTATGGCCAAGCTAGATAAAATTAGCATCAGAAGGTATAATACAGATCCTTACAGAAAATGCTTCATTTATTTCATAATAATCAATTTGAGATGACTCAAGGCCAGAATTCTTAATTGCTTTTGGTATTGCAAGAGCTGGAGCTGTTGTAAATAACTCAGGTGCCTGCCCAATAAATCTTGTTAGACAAGTCCCACTAAGTTGTAAAACTCAGTCAACAAAAAAAAAAACAATAATAATTCTCTTCTACCTGAGCTGCATCTGCAAATCCTCTGATCCTACCAATTACTTGCAATCCAAGTTCAAGTGCCTTTTGTCCACTCACCAGAACTAATGCTGCAGCGCCATCACTAGAGTTACAGCATACAAGAGGTCAAAATAAATCAAGTGCGACTACTTTCTACATCTAACAGCATTAACACAGGATTGTTCATGAAAAATACTAAAGGAACACCAGAAGCAGGTTCTCATTAGTATCATATGTTTCAAGGTCACTAAAAAGGGCATGAAAAGAAATTTGTCGGCTGTGGCACATGCACGTGTGCTGAGGCAGAGAAAGAGAGACAGAGATAGAATACCTTATAATGGAAGCATTGCCTGCAGTAACAGAACCTCCATTCTCCTTGAAACTTGGTCTAAGCTTTTTTAGTTTGGAGGCATCAAACTAGCAAAACAACAATGAAAAGAGGTTCAATGTGTTGCTACGTAAAATAACTAACTCAGCAGATCTAGGGATCAATTCCATTTAGGTTAAATGGCCAGGTAGAATTTTCATCAAGAGTTTATGGAAGGAGACAGGAAAATTAAAGTATATGAGTTTGACTGTGCACTGGAAAGAATACCACCATTAAAATTGCCAAAGTGACATTAGATTACCACCATTAAGTATATGAGTTGTACCGAGAGTACAACTGACAGACATTAGATAAAAAATGGACAAAGAACTTTTATCAGTGACATTGAGAGACAACTAAATTTCACATTGAAGCATTAGTTTACTGCACAACATAGAATATTAGGGATTTTCATATAGCTAGTCAGGTGACGTTTCCCATATTAAGGGGTGAAAGTAGGCAGAAAGGATACATAAAAGGTGAAGAAGATCATCAAAACTCTGATCTACCTAAAGATAATCTCAGATGGAAATCAAATTACCAAAATAAAAGAAAAAGTACTGCACATCAGTTTGTTAACCAATCTGATTCACCTTTATTAAACCTTCATCTTTATAAACAACCGTAGATGGTCTTCCTCTTCCACCAGAAATTTCTACCTGCACGAACATCGAAATTTTAATCTAAACTCTGAACTTTCTAGGGCATCATTTTATACCTAAGAAAGAATGGACAATCTCACCGGAACTATTTCCCATGCAAATGCACCACTACATTGTGCAGCAATTCCTCGCTCAAAGCTTTGAATAGCATAAGAATCCTAGAGAAAAATGGGAAGATAAAGCACAGATAGAAAATTCAATAGACAATAATGTTTAATACTATGTTTTCAAAATTTTATGGCCTTGCTTCCAGAGAACAAAACGGCTCTAAGCTCTACTTTAGAAACACTCAGGTAGTACTTCGGAAGGAAAAGAAAGAAAACAGGAGGCAGGTACACCCCTGTAAGAAAGAGGTTGATAACAAGGAAATTACATGTTTGTCCTTTTGATTGATGGAGAAACTTTTTTTTTAATAGAACAATAATTTTATTGATTTAGGAAGAACTCCAGATACAAGAACGATATTAAAAAGTAGAGAACCTACACAAAACGGTGGAGAAACATTATTAGACAGGCGAAGGATCAGGTCACAGTAATTTCCAATTGGCAAAAAGACCAACTCATGAACAATGGAGAAAGGGAAAAGGTCAACAGGCAGAATGAGAGAGGAATGCTGACTGCAAGTTCACAACATGGTTCATAGACGAAGAGAGAAATCTGGAAAATTCGAGGTAGAAACAGACATTACCTGTTCTTCTCTTGTGATTTTATACTGATCAGCACATAGTTCTGCACAGACGCCCATCCCAAAATCATTATAGACATCCCAGAGTCCATCTTTTAGCATGCCATCTACTATAGTATCATGACCTAGCCGCGATCCCTTCCTATCGAAATAAGTAAAATCAGAAATGGCAAATGGTTTTTACTGGAAGTTATATTAAACAAATTCTAAGTGACAGCCATTCTCAAACTGGAGCTTCCTCAAAGCAGACCAATAAAAGGAAGAAAGAGAAAATCCTTAAAGAACGTTTTTTTCCAGGATCAGAGAAACAAAGCTCTTTCAGATGATTATCTATAGGAGTCCTCATGTGATCCAATCCAGAATATAAAGAAACAGCCTGATTCACAGACATAAATACATATATTTGAATGCAACGGTGTAGTGTCTTCCACCAAAATGCCCATGTCATGAGGAGCTGGATGTAAAAAGCTACACTTTGAGGCATCGCAAACTTTAAAAGCATGCAAATCTTCATGTAGAACCCAAAAAAATAAAGCTTGGTTTCTCATATTCACATAAGGAAGATAATTTTGTAGTTCAAATAGGAAGGCTTTACAGCCAAAATAGATTAAGGATTTACATTATCGATGGAAGAAAGACGGAAAAACACTAATAAGAATAAGTGACTACACTCTTTCCTTTTGCTTCCTCCCTCTTTTCTTTTTTATTCTTTTTCCTTGGGAAGTGAGGCAATCATTTCATTATTATCCAGATACCTACAATTATTAGAACCAAAAAATCGAACCTTGCTTGAGGAAGGTATTTCGGTACATTAGACATGCTTTCCATGCCACCAGTCACAACGATATCATTGCTTCCTGATTGTATAGTCTGTGCTGCAATCATTGTTGCTGCAACAAGCGTAAACATGTCAGGTAAAACTGCGGCAAAGAAGTTTGATAGAAATAATCAAAATGTATAGATACTGATCCCACCTTT